AAACATAAAATTAGCGAATCGCTTTTTTGATAAAAACATGAACTTCTCCTTCGGGAAGTTAATAAGAAAAAAATACAAACAAGATTAAATAATATACTAGAAAACAAAAGAAAACCCGTGTGAAACCTACTTTGTGACATATTTGCAATAATTTTTAATATATATGTAGTTAAAATTTTATCTTTGTAGCCAAATTTTATTTTTTATTGATCTACTATCTACACATTTCGGTAAAGTTTTACAGCTTTCTTTAAGAAAAATATCACTTACATCTATCTTTAAACTTATCAGATGTATTAAATACAATTGCACCTTGTGAACAAATCTATACAACTTAGTACCTTAAGCATCTAGACCAGTGTCTAGACCACCGGGGGGCAATTTGCAATTTCATTTGACAAAAAAAATGCTTCTTAGATTTAGAATAATAAGGTGTCCCGGTTTCGCCGCGACGATTTTAGTTTTCACCCTTGTTTTCCTGGTGCCAGAGTTATGTTTTTTCTGCCGGGTTGACTTGACTTTTTCTCATTACTTTATAAAAAAATTACAACTACCCATTATAATCTGAAAATGATATATGCAATAAACTTTATATAAATCTAACAACAACATTATGAAAGAGTATATTGCGGATGCAACAGTTCTTTGGATTCCAGTAGCCCTTTACTAATTACCAAAAAAATAGGTAAATCAAGTTTCTGACTGCTTGGCATAAATGTTTTAAGGTCAGTGACAAGACTCGACTTGAAATATGCACAAGAAAAGTGATATTTAATACTGAAGTTAATTGCGAAGCTTTATGAGAACAGAGTTATATACAAGGCTTTAAAAGCAGAAAAATTGTAAATAAGATGTGAGTTTTTTACTCACTGTCAGTAACTATGGCTAAAGATGGAATTAATTTAAAATAAACTAATTTTTATTGTATCCTTAAATAGTACAAGGTTGACATTGAGCGCGGCTTTTACTCTTATTGTTATATTGCTTCAAATGATTCTTTAGGTTTGTTGAAGTTGAAATTTAGCTTTAACGTTTTGATCGGTTATGTAGAGTATTTGTTGAAAGATGGAATATCAAAACAAACATTGTAGTCAAATTTTGAATTTTTATTTCTGCAAATAACAAAGAATAGGTGCTGTTTATGGTGTCGAAGCCTTAAAAACAGCTATGTTGAAATTGGTTTTGAAAATGTCATTATGGTAATTTTCCACTCAATTTTGCTCTGATTGTCCAGTTAAAGTTAAGCAATAATCGATTGGGCTAATAGAAACAATTTGGCTATGTTTAAAAATTAATGGGGGTTGGTGAAAAATTTTCTCCACATTCACCAAATGTTCCTGACCACTAACCATCTGATTTAAAACCCTTGAATTTAAAAAAAAATCATGATGGTGTCAAATTGTGTCTAATTTAGTTTTTGCTAATAAAAATTAGAAGTTTTATAAACTTGGGATAATGATGCTTCTTGGAAAATAACAAAAGGCCATCGATGAAAATGGTATACATAACAAAGTTATTTAATTCCACGCAAAAATTGTCTTTAATTTTCTATCTAAAATGCGCACTTACTTAGTTGCCAACGATAACTACCAATTTCAAGAAAAATATGCGCACTTACTTAGTTGCCAATCTGATAACTAAAAAGGGTTTAACAAAAAATATATAAAGTTAAGATATAATTCCGTTCCGAGTTAAGAAAGTGTCAAGTAGATTCGTTAAGAAATGGCTTTATGAAGAAACAGAAACCAAATGCCCAAATGTAATCATATGTACAAAAATTTGCTATAATTTATTGAAAAAAAGAAAAAGCTCAGATTAGAACCTAATATAAAATCTTTGTTTTAGCTTAAGTATTGCATTAAATAAATTTCGAAAAAAACATTAATAAAATTAGTTTGAAATTTCTGTATGTTGGCTTATTTCGAAATTTTACTCATGATGTTTAATAACAATTTAATAGCGATTTCATCTTAAAAGTTATCCTCATTTTTCTGGGAGAAAAAAAAATGTATGACGGGCATAATCATTTTATAAACCTCAAGGTGGGGCGGGGCCCAAAAAAGGTTGGGAATCACTGATCTAGACTCTAGATGCTAGAGCTTCTTATTCATCTTGATTATCCAGACAAATTTTATCGAAACTAAAATTTGTTTCTGTTATCCCGTTAATTACAAATATAAGCAAAAATATTTGATGCCATTAAACTGATCTCATTCGTGTCTTCTGATCATTAAAATTATATATTATTATTTCTCACCTGCAATTCAGTCCAGATATTAGGTGCTATCTACAACTGCAGCTAACTATAGTTCCAGATGAAATATCAGTGTTCAGATTTTACTTGTTTTTTTTGGTCTTGGTTTAATTTGATTTATAGATAGGCTCTGGATATGGATCTGTTTGCAGGTTGGAGGAGGATTTATTATTATTTTGTAATCAATGCGAATAGTAGAAAAGCTAGTGGTAGGCTAAAGCTTTGCTGTTTTTCAGCAATTCTGTAGATATTTTTTATAAATATAAATAAATCTTAAAGTAACTAAATTTTAATTAATCTAGTACTAATTGATAAAACTTATAATTTTATAGATTTATTCTTACCACTTCTTTTTTGTAATTAAATATCTAGTAATAAAGCAAGATTACAGTGTACTGAGTTGTTTTATAATCGTTTATTTAAAGTTGATCTTGCAAAATGAATTAGTTTAGAACAGTTTTTTATTAAACAATTAACCGCGGTTAATAATATTCATATCATGATGTTCTACTATTATTAAATAAAATTAATTTATAGTGATTTTTATTGATAATGTTACAGTTGTAAATGATACTTACAATACAAGAGCACCTTAACCACATAATGTACAGAAAAACAGACAAATTTATAACATAAATTTACTTATAGAACAAATTAAAAAAGTTTAGAAATTTCAATTATCAAATACAAGTCGTTTTTTCGATCTGTTGTATCACTAAGAGAGCCCAATAAGAAAGTTGTAAATGTTGGTACGAATAAATTATTATACACTTGGACTTAAAGTTAATTTTATATTACAATTTGTCTGTTTGTACCTATAATCACACGGAGATCATAAATTTTATTTAAATTTTATAAAATCTTCATTTTAATTTCCTAATTCATGTTAAGAGTGTAAAAAATATTGCACTTTCACAAAATAAATCTAAGGTTTAAAAATAATATTATTTTATATAATATTGTTAAAATCTTATTTGAATAATAATACTAATTGCAAATTTATAAATCAATAAATTCAAATAAACAATCGTATCGATCTTGTGTTAAAATTTGATTTGAACAAATATTATCAAAATCATCATTAATAATTGATTATTGCAATGTAAAAATCAGTCGGTAATATATGAACATAAACATGTATACACAAATAATGTATAATGTATATATACGAGGTCTGTTCAAAAAGTACCCGGAATTTCGTTTTTTTCAAAAAAATATTTATTTATTCGTCTACATTAATGTGGTCCCCTTCAAAGTAGTCCCCCCCAGATATAATACACTTATGCCAGCGTTTTTTCCAATTTTCGAAGCACCCTTGATATTCACTTTTTGATATGTCCTTGAGCACTCTCAGCGATTTTCTTCAATCGAGGAAAACCGCCGTCCTTTCATGGGTCTCTTCAACTTTGGGAATAGGAAAAAGTCACACGGAGCCATATCTGGTGAATTTTTGCACTTTGCAACACTTTATTTCATTTTTTACGCAAAATTTAATACAAATTCTTTGACTTTCAATTCTTCCATTGTAAAAATCGCCGAGCTCAGAAAAACACGTCGAACCTTAGCGACTACCACAGACAAAGTAAACAGTGAATATAGCTGAAAATTTCATCATACTTTAGGGGCATGTATACCAACACAATAAAAAAAAATTTTGACAATCAGACACTCCAGACCCGCGAAATTTAATTATTAGTAATTCCGGGTACTTTTTGAACACACCTCGTATATATATATATATATATATATATATATATATATATATATATCGTTATTAAACTTAATCTAAGTATAAAAATATTGCACTTAAGTTGAGTCATGTATTGTAAAAATAATTTAAAAAAAATTAAACTATTTTATAATTATATATTCTTATGCTATTAATAATTTTAATTATTATTAAAGTTTTAATAATAATTATCATGAATTATATTTAATAATAATTGTATAAGTTTATTAAAAATAAAGCAAAATTTACGAACTATTTACATTTTGTCCAAATAAAATAGGGTGTATTGCTCTTCTGTAATATGTTCAACATTATTTTTTTGTACTATAATTAACACTATGCCGTCCGGCGACACCACAGTGGTGTCGAGCGCGAACTAGCGCTTAACAGCCGGCGACACCACAGTGGTGTCATGAGCACAGTATCTTCCTTTGGCCAGTGGCAGAAATCTTTCCATCCTGTTGGTGTTTTAATTTAGATAACAAAAAATTACACCCCTCAACATTAGTAAGAACTAAAAATTTGTAATTTTTCGATAATATTCAGAATGGGCGGGGACAAGCAAAGTGATAACGAATTAGCACTACCGGCGCCAAGCGAATAAATTTTTACAAAACGTGCGGACGGCAAAGTGTTAAATTTATGAATTAATAAAAATTCTTTGATTCAAATTTTTGATATTTAATGGACCTAGAATTTGTGTAATTATATACTCTCTATCCAATATGTCTCTTAATGATATTATTAATTATTATTTGTGTAGAAACAATTAATTAATTGTTTTTGTGGAAATAATTAATAATTATTGCTCATACAACCGCCATTAAAAGCGTTCTGTTCAAAATTATAATACTTAAATGGCGCAAATACAAAATAGCGTTTATTACGAGTGAAAAATCTGAAAATCAACTTATAGATATACTTAATAAACTCAGTTGCAATATATTTTTATTGTCAATTAAAAAATATATGAATTAACTTTCTTCTTTATCATGCTCTAGCGTTTGATTGAAAAATATATATATATAAAACTATACAGAACTAACAGTTTCCTCAATATATATGAAACTCTCAATCTATTGCTTACAGTACATCTGATCTACTCTATGTAATTAATATAATCCTGACGGGTGATCCATAATTTTGGATGGCGGATCATGATTGATGGCAGTATCTGAATACATACCTGCATTCATAACCTGTCGTTTAAACATAAATCCACCAGGTCGACGTCTATTACTATCTAAAAACATTGGGCGACTTCCTGAAGTTTCATTAGAAGTCAGAACTATATCAACTATACCATCCACACCATCCAGAACAATACTATCAACGCTCTTACTACGTCTCCTGGTCTCCCTATTTCGTTCCCTGTTACAATCGCTATTATAAGATCTATTTTCCTTATAAAATTCCTGGATTGGAATGCATCTGGAAGCACTGAGTAAAGAATCAGAAGTTCCATCACTCATGTCGTCCATTATGGCATCGGCATCAAAAAACAGTTCGCTGGAATGCCTGCTCCTGAATTTGTCATGTCTGGTTTTTCTTGGTGGATTGGGCAGAATGCAGGCAGGGACGATGGCTGCTTCAGGAATTTCCTCATTGGATAGTTGGTTGGATAGACTTTTCTTTTCTTTGGGAGGTAGTTCTGGAGGAGATTCGCTGGTGTAGGATATAGTTACCCTGCTGAAAGATGGACTTGTCTTTTCCAAGTGAACGCCTAAAATAGAAAATAGAATTAGGTTTGATTTTCAGAATTAATAGAATTAACAAAAATCATTTCAAAATTTGCTTGTTCTATTAGTTCCTGTATAACTTACTTAAAATCCATCCACATAAAACCCTCAAAATTTTTAGTTTTTTATATAGGTATGTTATATATGTCTTAATTTTTCTATATGAAGAAATACTAGTACCATCTAATTGAAATAAGTACAAGGTGTATAATATATTATCTGAATTTGGTTAATAAAAATAATTTTCAAAAGATTATATCAGTGCGATTTTAAAATGATATTTAATACTTCATATAGACAAACAACAATATTAAAGAACCGATTGCAATCAAATGCAAGACGAATGTCGAATGCATTCCAACAGGAAAATCGTAGTACACATTTATTAGGGGCGTTCGACTTGGACGCTTACGCGCTGTGAGCGCTCACGCTTATAAGCACGAATTTTAGCGTTCGACTTGGCCGATAAGCGCTCAGAATCGATAAACTAAATTCCGTTGTTTGGATACTGTGAGCGTAAATAAGCATCAAAATGGCGGCAACCGGTAACGGTAATGTTAAATTTTATTACTTTCTGGATCATTCAGCGGGATTATAAAGAATTTAACAATTAAAAATAAATGAAATTTGGTTGCTTATGCTTAATTAATATTAATATTAAATTAAAATTTAAAATTATTTAAAATTAATTAATATTAATTTAATATTAAAAATAATTGTGATATACAACTTGCATTTTGCGGGATTATAAAGAATTAACAATTATAAATAAATGAAAATTGGATAGCTTATGGCTTAATTAATAGTAATATTAAAACTAAAATTTAAAATTATTTAAAATTAATTGAATTTAAAAAAAAAATAATATGAATAAAATAAAATAAATATATGAATAAAAAATAATGTGATATACAACTTGGCATTTTTGCGGGATTTATAAAGATTTAAAATTAATAAATAAATGAATTTGGTTAGCTTATGCTTAATTAATAGTAATATTAAAATTGAAATTTAAAATTAAATTAAATTGAAAATTAATTAATATCAATATTAATATTAAGAAATAATTGTGATCTACAGTGCCATTTTTGCGGAATTATAATGAATTTGACCTAATAAACAAATGAAATGACAGATAGTAAAAACAACTGACGCTCACGCTCACGCTGCCCTACCTCTGTGGCGTGAGCGTATGTGAGCGCAAAATATGTGCTACGAGCATCCTACGATGGTGCTACGAGCGTACTTATGCCACATCACAGCGCCAAGTCGAAACGATGAAAGCGCGCTCACGGCGCGCTCACAGCGCGTAAGCGTCCAAGTCGAATGCACCCTAAAGTCAAAATCATTTACGTTTCTACAATAACTAAATAATTTTAAATTGTAATATTAGACGGCATCTCCAAATACTCCAAAATTATATATAAATATACATATAATAATATGGCACGACATTCAATCTGCTCTTTACCAGTAACTGATATTATGATTAATAATATTAGTAAACATTCATGCTGTGTAAAATTGTCAAAAATTAAAAAAAAAAAAATAATAAGAAAAAAAACAAAAACATGTGTCAAGTTATATAAATTCCCAATAATTTTTCTACGATATTTTTTCAAATAAACTTAGTAATTCAAGTAGTAGCAAACTTGATATGAAATATAAATTCAAACATAAATATTGCTCGGCAGGTATGTATAATATTTCGTATAAAAATGTTATCATAATTATTTGTCATTTTTTTTAACATAATTTAAATATAACGAAAGTAAGTGGTAATAACTACTGGTTATATATGGTACTACATATTAATTTTTGCAACAAGCAATAATTTGCACATTCGCAAATAAATAAGAGAACGAGTTCCAAATCCAAAAATTTTATTTACCAAATTAGAATACATCATATATGTCAACTCATGTTAGTTTTTTTTTCAAACCACCACCTTGTAATATATGATGTTCGTCAATGAAATTGTTACAAATTTAATTTTGAATAAATAATCATCATAAATGTATATACGTATAGACGATAACTAATTGAAACTGTAGTTTGTTACCATTTGAAGGTCTTTTATTCGGTATTTGTTTCGTACCCCAACTTGGATTTCTTTCGGCATCACTGACAATATTGTGTAGTTCCTCGATTACATCTTCGATGGTGGCTTCTTCTTCATCAGTTACATTGATGTGGCATTTGTTGTTTGGAGTCTGCACTCTTATAATACCTAAAATAATAAATAAATACAATTTATTAATTGCAAATAACAAAGCAAAAGGGATAGAATTTTACATCTACCAGTATTTGTTGCACATCTAAATCTAAACAAAAACGATATAAAAATTAAACTAGTAGGGTGTATGACATCGTGCCTTAAGGCAAATTGCTGGAACTTCCCGTACCGTAACGAAATGTTCGTCTAATATTTATAAGAATTATATAAACTGAATGCAAATGCAAAGTTGAAAATATTTCTTCAAAGTATATTAGAATTCAAGTCATAATTACAATTAAAATCTGAATTATTTTCGATATTAAAAAAAAAAAAATTATTTGAAAAAAAAAAAAAAAAAAATTTTGAAACAATTTTTTTTCCAAAATCAATTATTTTGTTAAAACAAGCAGAAAGTTCTTTGAATCATTTAAATCGGACGCTTATTTCTCTCAAAAACTGCCATTATTTGCACATTTAGCTCTGTATCTTCAAAATGGCCGGGCCTGCCTTTGCCAAAAACGTATAACCAATTCTCTCAATCATTACTAATTGAATGCTTTTTAGATCATCCAAGTCGGAAGCTTCGTTCTCTCAAAAACTCTATTTCTATTTTCTGCACTCTTTGCTCTTTATCTCCGTAACTGCTAGACCTGATTTTGCTTGAAACTAATCAGCACATCTTCCCATCAATAGGAATCGAAAGTTATTTGAACCATTCAAATCGGTTGATCCGTGCAACGAAAAAACAAAACACATACGACGCAATAAACGTGTTCTAATTTTTTGATAAAACTCTTTACCCATTATGTTATTACACCTTAATTATGTATCAATACACCTTTAATATTATTGGATATTCAATTAATTAGTGAATTATTTATTCGCAATAAAATTATTTTAGTTTTATTAGTTTCAGAAAAAAAACAAGAGCAATGACTTTAATATACACATATTTAGTATACACTTTAGTATATACATTTCAGTATACACATATCCTTTAGTACACACTTCTCGTTATTAAATAATTAATTAATTAGCAAAGTATTACTTAAACTAAAATTATTGTAGTTTATGAGTATATAAAAGTTAGAGAGTAATGTCTTAGGAGTAGGTATATCGGTCTGTTTCAAAGATGAAATTCGTATAATTTCAATATAAAATTCTATATCTTATTACCTGTGTTATCATCAGGTGACAAAGATCTTTCGGCCTCTGAACTGCTTATACCTTCATCCTCGTGATTTGATAGTTGACGTCTCTTAATCGGTGATGTTGTGATATTTAAAACTGATTTTGTCAAATCTTGGACTGAAGAACCATCTAAAAATACGAATTGTATAAAGGAATGACATATCATTTGAAAACGTTATATAAAATACAATTTTTATATTCTAGTTAAGTGAAATCAGTTTATCATTGTATAAAATGGTACATAGATCAATATTTAATCCTTAGTAAATGTAGTATTTTATTTTAATAATCACGTACCTACTTCAAATATAAAAAATTTAAAAATATTCAAGAAGTGATGTTTAGACAAAAAAATAAATCTATTTTGCTAATTGTTATTGAATAAAATTCTAACAAGATCAAAGAAGCAAAACATTTGAAATATCATAATAATTCATGAACCGATTCTGCCGTAAAATAGACCAATATTATGGCAAGGCCGTGTAGCGTTTATCATATAAAGTGGTTAAAAACTGTCAAAAGCCATGTGGTTGCTATGCAGTCAGGTGTTTTAGATAGAAAACCTAATCTAGAAAATTCACAAACGTCAAATAAAGTATCTCAGCGTTTTTTTCATATAAAGTGGTTCTAAAAACTGTCAAAAGCCATGTGGTTGCTCTGCAGTCAGGAACTTTAGATGGAAAACCTAACCTAGAAAAATCACAAACGTCAAATACAGTATCTTATCTTAAGTGCATCTTTGTGATGTGGCATAACAACACGTGAGTGAAGTTACATTTGATTATATTTTAACAGTTTTTAGTACTAATTTATATGCCAAACGCTACGTAAAGTAAAATAGATGTGGCATAATAACATATGAGTGAAGTTACATTTGATGTGTAAAACGCCTGACACCACAGCCAATACATAGCATTTTAACAGTTTTCAGTTTAGTACCATTTTACGGCGTAACCGGCCTCTTAAACACTTTTATAAATCATATTCTTAATGGGAATCACTGATTTTTTATTTTTTCAACTGGAGGAATTTCATCTAGGTGAGCGGTCGGGGAACTATTTTAATAATTACCCCCAAATATTTTTGTCTAAGTTAGTATTACCCCCGTGGTGAAAAGAATTACTCCCATATGAACAACTTTGTAGTAAATACAGTAAATATCAATTACAAATAGTACATAATTTTTACTCCCAAAAATTTTCACACTATTTTGGATAGTTTACCCCGGTTCTCCAACCATTGATCTAGATTAATGAAAGCTCTGGATAAATACCATGTAACTGCAAGAAAATACGCTTATGCCCTACAGTTAACTTATCTATCTGAGCATATATTTCCTTTATCAATTTAAATCTTATTTCTTACTATTCATTTGTAATTGAGCACACAATCTTTGCAGGTCCTCCTTTTCAGACTGTAGCGCTTTGATACGTCTCTCCAGGGCGCTAACTCTACCCCGGAGTCCTGCACCTTCGCGCTCGCTGGTCAGAGCCCTCTCCTGCAGCCTCACCACGTCGATATAGCCACGCTCCCAGCGTTTTACTGCCTGCTGAAGACGCTCTAACCAGGGACCACTTGTACAATTCTGAGGAACATAGAAATAGGTCAGTTTTAATATATATTTATAATGGATTTTTTTTCATAGATAGAAAATTTTAGATAAAAAATGCGTTTAGGCACACCAGACTTAGTCTTTCGTCTCGGTATGTCGTGCTCAATAATGGAACGTATTGGATAGATCGGGTCTTAAAGGTCCATCTATATCTCAAAAACAAGTAAAGTTAAAAAAAAATTAACTACAATATTTGAAAGTAGAGAGACAAAATGTATAATTAGCTATCACCTTGATTCTTACGACGTGGTCATTGGAAAACAAACGGCAATGTTTGAAAATCTATGACAAAAGTATTTTCTTTCGTTGTAAGTTTTTTTGGTTCTGAGTACTGTTGTTTAGTTTACGAGACCTTAATATAAGTTTTCAGTGCATATATGTTATTCAATTGTATCATACATTGTTAATTTAAACTAGATTCAACAGATGTTTTCATATAACTTCCATATAGTATAATTAGTTTTCATATAAAGCTTACACTTGTTTGGGGCAAAAAAGACCAATAAACATTCAACCTGGAAAATGTGTAAACAGTAAAGTAAACTAAGTCAAAAAAGCAATTTTACAAGGGATAAAGTAATTAATAGTTATTCCAACTATCTTGATGAATATTCCCGATGAAATATCAGATTAAGGTTATATAAATGTGTGTGTGTCTATACTTGCTCATTTTTTTAGTTTTTTGTCAGGTTTGTGTACGAAACAAATCAAAAAGCTATATTTTAACATAGAACAAAGCAAAATTATATATCACACTAGGTAAATAACAAGAAAATTAATTAAGTTAAATTGTAAGTCCAAGAAAACTTATTGCCAGACTAGAATAGTATGGTGTATCGATAATTTTATATATAGAATGGCTACAAAAAATTGATAGTACTTTTAAATTAACAATTAATTTTTAAAATATTAGATTTAAATTTAATTTTTTTGACAATTATTTATCTTGATAGGGTAAACATGTCAAAAGTTTCTGCTTCTGCATATAATATTACTGTGAAATAAATATAATTTTAATAATAGTTTATACTTCTAAACTCATAAAATTGTTACTATTTTTTAACAAATAATTTAATTTTTAAAATATTAAAATTATATTATAGTTTTTTTACAAATATTTTTTGTAATTCTAAAACTTTAGAGTGAATAGTCCGAAGACACTTTCTGCATTCACATAATATGGCTTCAGAACAAATATATAACATATATGACTGTGAAAACATTTTTATGGTAGTTAATTTTAATTATTAATTATTTTTTATATTTTTCATTTATTCCTATATAACATATTTACCATTTTGTTGGATGAAGAACGTGGATGTTTGACATAAAAGGCAAGTACGTAATTACGTTTAAGCAATAATTGTTATTCAATTTTCCTTTATTTTCTAATATAATGAGTTGGAATATTAGATTACGACTTACCTGATTAAAGTAATTTATATTAATTAACGCAATAAAAATGTAAATTAATTAACGTAATTTTACCTTAAGCAATAACTGAGGTTCCAGCCCAGCTTGATGAAGCTCTGATTGCAAATATAATCTTTGTTGAATACTGCCTGTCGTTTCGATAAAAGAGTTTATGAACCTATAATATAAATATATCGTAAATAACACATACAATTTAAATAAAAAATATCTATAGTTACAGTTAAAAATAAATATATAAAGGCATATAATAGTGGAATTGAAAATTAAGCATTTTAAGCCTTTTTTCAACTATGTGTTTATAACGTACCAAATTCATCAAAACATGATAAAAGATGTATCTTGAATATTTTTATGTGGCTATTAAATTTCTCTCAACATAAATAAATTTTCTTAATATTCACAGTTAGATCTAAAAATATTATAGAATTAAATACAATGATACTGGGATTGTAAATTAATTTGATTTATTATAGCCTTTTTCTTAGAATGTATGGCTATTATATTCACATTCATCAAAGTAAGATAAATTAAGGACCTTAAGTATTCCCAGCAGGCTATTGCATTTTTTAAGACAAATGTTCGTTGTTCAACTATGAATGTACCATATTAATTAAAAAAACACAAATTTTAATAATATCAAGTAGTATTTGGTTATTAAATTTCATTCGAAACAAGTAAATTTTCTTTGATCCAAGTATGTGCTTAGAAAGAGCCACATAAATTAAGGGGCACAACTAGTATAACCGCCTGAGAAAAAGGTGATTTTTGGTAATTTATATTAAAAAAAACCACTATATCAATCATTTCAAAATTTTAGGAATATATTTATACATGTTTTTAGAATACATTGTAAAATTTTTGAAGAAAAAAATTAAATATTTTTTAAGTTATCGTCGATCGCCAACGGCGCGGCAAAAAAAGGCCCTTAACTGCTGCAGTGATTCCGGCCTTCTACGTGGATAAAATAAAAAAAAAATCTCGTTAAACTAGATAATATTGTCTGTAAAATGAACTACGATAAAAAAAATAAATCAAAAATTGACAAAATGGCGGCGTTTTTTTAAAAAAAGTCGAATTTTACCCAAAATTTTGGTCGTTTTTCGACTGCCAAAATTCGATTTTTGATCCGATCAAAAAATCGATAGTTCATTTTACGGAGAACTATATAAAGAATATGTAAAAAAAATTTGATAGTGATCGGATCATTCGTTTTTGAGTAATCACTGCAGCAAATTCGGAAAATGCTGTTTCGAGAAAAACGCGTTTAAAGATTAAATGATCGTTATACTATGTACTATATATATACTGTTTAAATGGCTGTAACTCAAAAACTATTTAAGATATCGGTTTAAAATTTTAATATGTTATTTTTAAAAGTGTAATCTACCGAAATATAAAAAAAAATAAAAATCGATTTTTTCGAAATTTCACACTAGTTGTGCCCCTTAAAGCTGTCTATTAAACTTCGAGTCAAATAAAAGTTTACAAAATATCTATGAGAATCTTTGTTACTTACTCCATGCCAGCTGTCTGCAATTCTCCGCTTCCACCTCCACTTTGTAGCATCCCAGCTAATAATCGGAAACGTACTGGTTCTCCGCATTGCAACCTTAATGTACTGAGAGCTTCGTCTACTGCCCGATGACCTCGCGCCTCGGCGCTGCAGGCGGACGCCAGCAGGCGCAGGCCGAGCAGACGGGCCCGCACGGCGGGTCCTGTCGCCGATGCGGCTAATGGCAGCAAACCGCCTTGTGCAACACTAAGTCTAGAAAGATACGAAAAAAAAATTCGTAAAATTTAAAATTTACGTATACAAGTCATAACTTTTACGTTGAGAAGAGACAAATGCGATACTGTTAATATAAATAATACGGTTATAATCAAAGTCACCACCATTAAATATCTTGGTATGTATTTTGATTAAAAATTGAACTGGATACAACCCATAAATCAAAAAATAAAACAACTGCAGAGTATGTACTCTGTTGGCAAACAGATTGTAACTCAAAACTATCCCTAAGCAACAAGGTTCTCATATACAAAGTTTTCAAAAAACGCCTTTGGACTTATAGGATTGAGCTGTATTAAGATTTACGTTAAGTCCTTACAAAGGAAACAATGAATCCAGCATGGTATGTATCGAATAAAATCCTACATAATGATCTCCATATCGAAATATTTGAAGAGTAACTGGCAAAATTTCTTAAGAAGCATATCTCAATTTTCCCGGTCTTATAACCATATTAACACAAGCATACAACCGTTGCTGTTGAACTAACTAGACAGAAACCTGAAAAAGAAACAACCAGTAGATTTTCTAGTAGATTTGCATACAACCGTTACTGTTCAACTCAAAAAACAGAAACTTAAAAAAGAACCAACCAGTAGATTTTCTTAATTTTTCATACTCATATAACATATAAAAAACATACTGAGTTAAATATTTAGCCAAATAACTATAAAACGGTATCATGTTTTGATAGCTGTTCAACAATGTATAAAACTAGTTGGTATTAGTATTTTGCCTTGAGGCAAGTTACATGAACTTTCCGGTATATGTAAAGAATCGACCTAATCAATAAAATATGAATTAATTTATAAGTGATTGAAAGTATTCTGAGTGGATTTATTACACATAATTGGAAAAGAACAAACACGTTAACTCGGGGTATTTTCTAAAAGCAAATTTTCAAAAATCAACAATTTTTGTAATTGAATTAGTTTCCGTAGGACTTTAATGGTTTAGTATGTTCATTAAGAGCAAGTACTCTTCGATATATCAAGTAAATCGTCTAATTTTAATTTTAACAAACATCAAAAAGACTACTCAGTTTCTCAAATTTTGAGGAATTTTTAAAATTAAACTACTTGTCGTGAGACCGTAATATTTCAGTAAGTTCTATAAGATCATGATATATATCTCCAAAAAAAATTCCACGAAAATCTGCTTAATTTTTTTTTCAACAGTTAATTACAAGGAAACGGTTCGGTAGATTTTCACCTAAAACTATGGCATCTACCGTCAAAAAAAACCATAAAAATCGTCGATTTTTTTTTATTACAAGAAAACGATCGATACCAAATCGGTCTTTACCAAAAACTAATCAGCACGATTCCCAACCAATATCTTTCGAACAGTTTTTGAATTTTCAAAATCGATTGAGAATTGCGGGCTTAAACGTGCACGAGAAATTTTTCACTTTTCTGCGATTTACAAAGAAATGGTCTGGTTGATCGTCGCGCAAATTTGATAAACTCTAGTCCTCAAACGAAATACATCGAATGGCTTTTAAATTTTTGAAATCGGTCCAGCCGTTTTTGCGAAAACGTTGATTTACGGCAAAAAATCTGTTCACATACATATACACACACACACATATATATTTTTTTCAAATTTGGTCTCATTCGATTCAGAATGGCTTGAAACGTCAAGAAAACATAAAATTAGCGAATCCGATTTTTTTATGAAAACAAACTTCTCCTTCGGGAAGTTAAAACTTCAATGTGCTTATTACCATCAGAATAAGTTGTTGAGCAGTTTGTTTTATGTGTTGATACATGATTGCTGTGCAATTTAATTAGGCACTAATCATTTGCATCCATAAAAATAATATTTTGTTTCTGGTAATTTCTCTGTGATCATAAGGTTTAAATAACAATGTTCTGATTATACAGTATTTATTCCATAGCACGGGCAGTCTAAGTAGGCTGATTGTATCAAAACTCCTCTGTTTTATACCAAGCTAGAGTTTCCTTTTTTTCACTCCTAGGTGAACATCCTCACAAAAACCGTCCGGGGTATTATTTTGTATTCCAATTTATTTTATTCCATATAATTCAAGTATTTAATATAGAAAATAACAGTATTTTAATCCTTAGTTTATAGTATAAATAGAAATAGATTATGTGTAAGAAAAATTACCGTATAAAAGTATAGATCAAAAGTTAATAATTCACTGAAAATAAATATTTCAGTGAATCAACCCTTATCATGTCAACCGAAACACGAAACTCTATGCCACTCGTGGTTCCCTGCTACAACGGTCGAGCACTCGAGATCGATCCGGCCTTGGTGGGCAATGGTTTATCAGCTCTATCAATTAAACATGATCTTCAAGATTTGGTCAACTGCAAAAACATCACTCCAAACAAATGTGCTTCAAACGTTGTAGGAAGTTGCCATAAAAATAATGAAGTGAAAAGCAGAAATTCATTTTGGTGCGTACATCGTCCAGAGCTACGTAAATTGACATGGGCTAAAAAATTGAGCACTCGACAAATTGCTGCTGTTTTGGAAGAACACGCTGTCGGTGATCATTATGGAGATTTGTTGATGAACACCACAGGTGCGTTGTTATGAATATAGATTTTAGGAAGCAATTACAATGACATTTTCTGTATTTGTAATGATTAATAATTTTTTTGATAGGTACTTTAGGAGCATCTCCGAGAGACAACAATTCCATAACAAGCAACAATACCAGCGACGTACGATTTATTAAAACCGAATCAAAAAATTATGGATTAGACAACACAAGTGAAAACCAGTCTTATAAAAGAATGAATGCGACCCAACCTCCATTTTCAGATGGCGAAGTAGAATTCACTCCCGTAAATGGACCACGAAACGTATTGACTGATGATGATGATTTAGATGCAAAATATCAAGTTCACAAAAGTTACGTTGGTATGTGCATAGACATGGGGCATATGATGTTCAGATCTCCACATGTTTATATGGTTACTGATTGCGAATCGGATCCAACAGACGCAGAAAAAACAACAGCAAATAATAAGGAAGCAAATCCGGCAAAAATTGAAGTTGAACCTCAAGTGCAAACGCCGAATTCACAAGTTGCCGGTACTAGTCAAGGTTCAGCGCTTAGTGCCGAAATAGATAGTTTATCATCAGCGTTGAAACTCCATGAAGCAACAGCCAAATCTTGTGTACCATGTGGAGCAACTATTCCAGAAGACGCGTTTGAACAAGAACCTCCTGCATCTTTAAAACAAGCTTTTCAACATTCAGCTAATACACAAGATGTTACTGTTATTTTAGCGCCACGATACGATTTACCAGAATGCGAATCAGCTCAACATTCTACTTCAGGAACGCAATTGGAGCTAAACCCGAATGAAATTGCGCAGATTGAGGAGCGGATTCGAAAGAATTCTGCGAAGAAAAGTAGACCTGGAAGTGCTAGCAGCTCAAGTAAAAAACACCACACTACTAAAGATAATATCCATTAGATAATCCTAAATATTTTCGCATTTAAATGCTAAACTCACCAAAAATTTATAATCGCACATGAATTAAAATAAAATATATACCATAATTAAAATTAAAATTTTGGTATGACAATATTTTGAATAGATATTAAATAAAAATTATATCCAGTAATTAAGAGAAAGCAACATCAAATTGTAAACCGTTTACAAAAATATTAGATCTATGTTTATATTTCAGAAAATCAGTAATTTTGCAAGATAAATATCAGTTGTGAGACAACTATTTGGATGAACACCAAAGATAAGTATATTTTGTTGAACCAATTATATTCGTAATTATTTTAACATTAAGTTCTCATCAAGAACATATGAACGTAAGTACAATAAAAATTATGCGAAAGTTTTAATTTGCCTCTGATCTACTTTGTCATTACATGCACAATCATAACATTTATGATTTTGACGTCCATAGAATATTGAAAGGCAAATAAAATATAAAATTAAAAGATATATTAGTAAATAATAATAGATAACATGATTTATTGAACTGCATATAATAACTTTGTGTAGGGTAAGTAATAGAATACGTCTAAAAATCGAAAATAAAATTTTTTAATATCGATAATGATGCAAACTTCAATTTTGATTCTAAATAAAATTCTTAGGCTCACCTATCTACTCGAAAGAAATGATTTTAACTTTACAATTTAGATTATATAATTCTTAGAGAGATTCATTCTAAATCCGTTTGATTTGTTTATTAACTTCATATAAACATATGTAAACGTCGTCGTCCAATTAAATGCTCATATATTTTGTCTACAAAATAATTATGAAAGTTACAGTATTTAATGTATTTGAAATTTTTTTAAATTCCACTAATATTTTATTGAGGAAAATAATGAAAGTTCTCACATTTTGTCTTAAGGTACAAATTGATGCACCACTAGCTAAACTCTATTAATAATACTATTCTAATTCTAATCTAATTTTGACAATATTATTTGTCAAAATTAGACTTTTGATCGACGTGTGCTCAAAAACGCCTGAACCGATTTCAGAATTTTAAAAGCCATTTGATGTATCTCGAATCGGATTATCGTTTCTCAGTTTTGTGCGACGATCAGCCGAGCCGTTTCTTTGTAATTTGGAAAAAAGTGTTAAACTTGCCGTCCACATTTAAGCTAATACTACCGAATCGATTTTAAAAAATCAAAAACTGTTCGAAAGATATTAGCTGGGAATGGTTCTTATTAGTTTTTGGTGAAAATTTACCGAGCCGTTTTCTTGTAATTAACTGTTGAAAAAAAATTTAAGAGGATTTTTATGGATTTTTTTTCGCAATAAATATCATGGTCTTATAGAACTTACTGAAATATTACGGCCTCACGACAAGTAGTTTAATTTTGAAAATTCATCACAGTTTGAGAGAATTAGTAGTTTTTTTGACGTTTGTTGAAATTAAAATTAGAATGATTTACTTGGTATAACGATTGAGTACTTGGTCTTAATGAACATACTAAACCATTAAAGTCCTACGGAAACTGGTTCAATTATGATCATTGGTTTGTGAAAATTTGCTTTTAGAAAATACTACGAATTAACGCGTTCGTTCGTTTTAAAATATGTGTAATGAATCCACTCGGACTACTTTTAGTCACTCATAAATTAATTTATTTTTAATTGATTAGGTCGATTATTTATACATATCGGGAAGTTCATGTAACTTGGCTCAAGGCAAAATACCAGTACCAACTAGTTTTAAATAATATAGCAATACAACAAAGCTCTTCGTATCATAAGGCTAGTTTAATAACTTGCACTAAAAGTTCAATGGGTTTCGATTAGTTTGGTTAATACGACGTAAATTGCCGTGGATTCCTTGAAGTGAATGAATAATAATCACAAAAATAGTGATTGAATTACAAAAACTTTATATAATTTTCTATTTACCTGTTAGCTGCATCTGAGCTCCTGCTGCAGCAGAGTTGTAGGCATTGCAGGCAGGTTAGTTCGTCGAGGAGTGCCCTTCTCTGCATGGCCGGAGTGACGCGGTACTGCTGAGGCGATTTCGCCTGTTTGTTGCCGCCGCTGTGGCTCAACTGAACCGCTCGCAAAACTTCTAATAATAATGAGACACCTTCCATAGGAGCACTGACAAATTCTTGTACAAAACTGAAAAAAAAATTAGATAATTTATAAAAAAATGTATTTGTATTTTTTAACACAACTTTATATTTAATAAGCATTATTGCACAGTGTAGCGCCATGTAATAATTAACATTTTAGAGAGAACAAAATTACTAAGACAAAAAAATAAATAAATGCATGGTTAGAAATGCGGTTTATGAACAGATTCTGCCGTAAAATAAACCAATGTTATGGCAAGGCTATGTTACTTTCCAGTTTTCATACAAAATGCTACTAAATACTGTCAAATTACTATGTATTTACTATGCTATCAGGCGTTTTACACATTAAATGCAACTTCACTCATATGTTATCAAGCCATATCTCAAAGAACCATGGAACTGCAATTGTGAAAACATAGTTTCTTTCGACATTTGTCTGTTTTCTAGGTTAGATTTTCTTTGTAAAACGCCGAACTGCACAGCAACCACATAGGATTTTGACAGTTTTTAGTATCACTTTATATGAAAACTGGTACATAACATATTTTTCCATAACATTGGTCTATTTTCCGGCAGTATCGGCCCCTTAGCTTAGATTAGATTATGTAGTTTCTGGTTGGTTCTTTTTTTTAAATAAGACAAATTACTCTTTTTATAAAAAAAATGAAAATGGCGTAAACGCTAATCTAGAAAACTTATATTAAGTTATATTAATGTAAGTTACTGATAATTAGGCATTTTAATCCTTGTAAAATACAGTTGGTAAATTAATATACATTTGCATAACATGTATACATGTCAATATTTAATTATAACATTTTTTTTGTTGTACTTATGACTCTGAGATCATAAAAATATAAATGATACTTCATTTCGCCCTTTTATTTTTATCATTCTTATTTTAAATATTAATAGGGTATTCAATATTTCAATACATTATTTTCATTTATTATCGATATATTTTCAATACGAGAAATTCATACAATAAAAAAGTGAAACGCATGTAATTTGTGATAACGTAATAATTTGAAAATATACAAAAATTCAACATACAATTTTATTCTTAAGGTTTAAGTATGTATCAACTTTTCAGAATTTCTGCTTACAAATTTGATAATATAGGATAGGGCAGAGTACTTTGAGCAATTATATTGTGAAAACCAAACCAATTATTTCACAAAAAAATACCACATATCAAACATACAACTATTTGAATATGTTCAGTAAAACTCCCAGCTAATTTCAAAAATTTGTCACTTGGTAGTTTTTACTTCACAGGCAGGGTAAAGTAGGACAGCCAGGGGGTAAACAGATTCGGTGTCTTATTTTTAAAAGCTTTTACAAAATAATAGCTTCACAATTCAACCAATGCAAAATATAAATTGTATGTCTCTATTTTTTGCACCGGGATAACACTGTATATAAGTAGGAATAACTTTTTATTCAATTTTTTACAGTTTTTCACTTAATTTTCTATTTTATTCACTATTTTTGATTGTTTCACTTAAAAAAATACTGTTGAAACTGAAAAATAACAAGACATCTCATAAAACAAATAATTAACGTAGACACATTAATTAACGTAGATGACATATTAAGATCTTGTAAACTAAACAAGTTGCGCTCACAACAAAAAAAATAATAACGAAAAATAATATTTTTATTATAGATTTCCAAACTTTGCCGTTCATCTCCTGATAGCGACGACATTTCGAATATTGTTGTTATAAAATTCTTAACTTCCCTTGTTTTTGAGAAATCGGTGGTGGAATTTTTTACCCGCTCTACCCCATTAAATTATCCTATTAATATTGTTGTCAAAAAATATTTCATGGCATAGAAAAAAAATGTAATCAAGTTAATAATAAAAAATCTAATTACGAATCATTTCATCATTTCTTATCCAAAAGATTTAGAAGCATCTGCTCACATATAATTATAACTGTTTCATCAAAGTTAAGTTGTAAGTACAATTATTTCTGTTATATTTACCGTTGTATGTGGTTCGCAGATTAAAATTTACTCATTAATGAATTTGTTACAAAACCGTCTTTATTATTATGAAAAAGCATTACAATACAAAAATTATGCAAGGTAGAACAGTTAGTAACTATACAAATTATTATTTCACGGAGCAGGAAAAATTATTCCTGAAATAATGTTTTAGGAATTATAAAGTTTAAATATATAGATAATAACAATATCTCAATCATTTCAATCTTAATGTATCGATATAAATTACATCAGCCTATTGAAGAAAATATTGAATATATTAATGAAGAAATTAAAAATATGAATATTAAAATATACATAATAACAATTATAATTGAAATCTGAATTCTGATAGAATTAAACATACAAGCCTAAATTAATTTTTGAACATGAATATGTCGAAATTTCGGATCATAGCCACACGAAATCAAATTTAAACAATCTATAGATTTCACTATTACATACAATAAATTTTGTAAAGGTAATTAGAAGAAATACCAAGCATATAAAATTTATAATGGCAAAATAATAATTCGAGTAAACCATAGATTTAATATTTAAGAATAAGCAATTTAATTGGCATACGTTCTAAAATATTGTACGCTTGGTTTGTCGTATAATTTAAAAAATAGATAATATTTTTAAGATTTATTACTCTATTTCATTTCATCGTGAAGTCAATTTCTCTTCTACATATATTCCATATTTTACGGAAAAGTAATCATCGGCATGTGAGTTTAAACATCTAGGTCAATGGCTTTAATATAAATTTATGAACAACATGGATTAATGTGATACTATACTGTGAGTTAACTGTTAATTAAAAGTTACCAGTCATAGATTTTACGGTTTATTATATAAATATTCTAATAATCACAAAATTATTAAAATTTTATTTGAATATCATACGTGCGAAGAAGAAGTGAAATATATGGCTCAAGAAATAACTGGTATTTACACAATTTTTATTTTGCTTTGTAGAAAACTTGTATAAGATATCAATAATCAAATAATAGATAATTTCTTGAAATACGAGTTTTAAGTTGGTTAAAGTCATAGAACGGTAAAAACTTTGTACTTTGCGAGAATTTATGATTTTTGGACAAAATTTCTTTGATGAAGGAACTAAATCATTGAAGAGATTATTGCTTGCCGGCGGTATTCTAATAAAAAAAGAGTGCGCGTAAGGTTCATAGGCGATTGAAGTAAAACTTATTTGTTACTGTCCAAGATGGCATTATAATAGCATTAAAAGTATATATATAATATTTAAAAACAATAATGTAAATAAAGTCATACTTCAAATATAACATGATCGGTTTGTCATTGTAATTAGCAATTAGAAACAAACCTTCATTAGAAAAATGAAGTAATTGCTGATTAATATCGTTCACACAGTGGATTATGTTAAACAACGCCTAAACAAATATTGTTTTCGTAACTTCACTCATCATGTAATTGTGTTTGAAAAACTTCATGTAATTGAAATTAACATACATTCATTGACTGCTTGTATTTTTTTACTTTTTCGCTGGCGATATGTTCTCATTCTTTAAACAGCTGTAATATCTGTCTTGCCTAAAAAATATTTTCCATTTTAATAACTTTAAAGATTTATAGAAACTACGAATAATATAGGAATGATTTCTAATCAATAAACTTATGTTTAGTACACGGCCCAAATGTTTAATTTGTTTTATTATTTTCGAAGAACAGCGTAAAATATTGTTCTGATTCAGGCATTTTTCATTAAATCAAGATTTGTACTACGGTGTAACTTTAAAGTATTTATTTATCTATGCCAATTTCCTTGTTGATATCGGTACGCATACAACGTTGATGCTGGTACGCATACAAAGACAGATTTCTATTTACATACACGACGGCTAATCACAATCGACCCGTATCGAAATAATCTCATCGAGAGCGAATAACGAACACTTTGGGCGTAATGGACTTCCGTTGCATTTGTACGGATTTACACCCTAGTCGCGCATAAAGAAGTTTTACTTCAAAAACTATTTGTTAGTGATTATGAATTTGGTTAATATATAATAAAATTAGTTTATTATTTTATTACCTTAAATACGATTCTCGCAAATCACATCGCAATCTTGACAATAATTCAGAAACACTTCCGAACTGTCGAAGTTTCATTTCAGATTCGGCTGGTGGAGGTGCAGTTATAGGACTTCTGCAAATATTTGAGAAAATAAAAAAAATACATTAAATGGTTATATTTTGGTATTATACTCGTATATTTATAGGTTTATTGGATGTGCACAATTAATTTAAAAAAAATCAAGCAATAAAAAAATAGTTTAAACTATTTTTGGTATTCAAAGTATAAGTGACTACTTAAGATTTTCCAACATTACATAAATCAGCAAGTATTACTTTCAAAAGGACATAATTATATAAGGCAATATTTCTTCAAATACACACTTTGTCTAAAACGTCTTAGAATTAATTTTAATAGTTACATAAAAAAATATTTTTTTTATTTTTTTTTACTTATAGTCCTTCTGTTTAATTGGCAAGGTTTGAGATCTGATAGTATCCTCCTGTCTTTGTGCTTCTGGTGTAGAAGGACAACTTAGAACATACAATGGAGAAATGGTTGTCGAAGGACGTTTTCCCCAAGTTCTTAAGGATACTGCATAATCTTCTGGATTAAATACTGGTGGTCTTTGATGGTCCTAGAAAGAAAAGTAAAAACCCAAATATTAAAAAAAATTAACCTGTACAATTAAGGTGACCATATTTTTTTAAAACAAAAATCGAGACAGTAAGTTTTAGTCATGGTAATCCGATAGGGTACAAGGCGGAGGAGGGAGGTGTATGCAACAAAACTTAAAATTCTTAAAACAAAAAATACTATTAAAAATGCAATAAAAATCATTACTGACTTTTAGTTTTTACTTTATTATATGTTATAATTTATATGTTATAATACTTCTTCGTTCAGTTTTTCATATAATTATTTGCTAATTAAATTTATTTATTTATTATTATTTATATTTTATTTGTGCTAATTAACAAAAATAGCACTAATGTCAAACATCAATCAAAATGTTTTCATAATTTTTGTTAATGTTTGTCGACATTAATAAAGTAAGAGGCTATTTTGAACCGCCTTCAAAATGTTGTATTCAGCAATTTTTTCATTCATAATGTGTTCCATATGAGCATACTCTTTGTTCATAACATTTTCAGATATTTAATGTAATAGTTGTAATTTGATCATCAAATTAGAGTAAAAATTCAATTTAAGTTTATGTTTTTTGAAAACCCGCGACAATCCGGGACAAAAGATCTAAATCCGGGATAAATAATGCTTTTGAAAAAATCCGGGATTCAAGGTGGAAATCCGGGATTGTCACCGAAACGTATGGTTACCTTAGTATAATATGTTAAGTACTTTAGTTTTAATCTAGTGTTTGGAATGCATTTAGGCATTTATTTATATGTATTATATATGAAGGTAATATATAATACTAAGTTATTCAGTATCAAATAATATCTTTCTAAAAGATTTTGGAAACTTAGGCCTAAGTAGAGTACAATCAACACATTAGCAAGAATTACGTGAAAGTATATATTTTAGGCAATTTATGAAAGTCAACTTTGCTTAATTCAAAGGATTAAATTGAGATATGTAAAAATAACAATTTTGAATAAAAATAATAATATTACATCTAATATTTTTAATTTTTTACCTTGGGAACAGCTTCATCTGGTGGCCAAGCATCACTTGGATTTGAACGAAGACTACAAGAAGAACGCAGCCCCTGCTTTGGGCTATTATTGCTACTAGGAGCCATAGTTTATTATTTTCTGTATTCAATCTGTAATAAAATACAAAACTATTTGAATAAAGTTCTCAATTAAATTAGAACAAAATAAAAGAATAAAATATATATATATGTGCAGTGGCTTTGTTATATCAAATATTATAATACAACCTCTAAAACAATAAATTTTTTAATTATTAAGACTTTAATTATTCATTACTCTATTTTCTACGCTTTCTTGAATCAAGTTTCATGCAAAATTTAATGAAAATTGTTTAACCAAGTTATAAAATTTTCCCGCGTGTTATTCAATTCAATTCAATTCAACAAAATCATAAAGCTTTCAGAACTCTAAAAAGAGCCAATTTTATAAACCAAATGTACTAAGATCTTGATTTTTCTTGTTAAATAATATGTACAAATTATGATAGAAATAAATTTATTATTTAGTTTAATAAGGAAAAACTATATTTTTATTGTTATAAATATAATTCTTAGTATGTCAATTGCAACAGTTATTGATTAAATGTCCATGGGAAAATAATAAATTAATTATCTCTGATAGCTTCAAAATTGTTAATGCACATAATTACTAATTTTCAATTAACTGAACTTATTTGAAATAAAATCAGATTATGATAGAATTATAAAAAACTAGTGACCTTAAGGCAAATTGCTGGTACTTTCCATACCTGAATGAAACATTCGAGGAATATTAAGTGTTTTCAAATAGATTATTACAAATACTGCAACTTTTATTATTTTTATTTTATAGACAAAATATAAGAGCTTATAAATTAGACGACGACGTTTATTTAGCTTAATCAATCGGATTTAAAATGAAGAACATTGTCTAATATTTATAAGAAATATGTAAACTGAATTGCAAAGTTAAAATTAATTATCTGAAGTATAAGTATGTTTAGAACTTTAGCTAGAATTAGAATCGAAATCCAAATGATTTTTGATATTAAAAAGATATTATTTGAAAATTAAATAAAAAAAATTATTCTCCAAAAGCAATACAAGCAGATAGTTTTTTGAATCATTGAAATCGGAAGATTAGTTATCTCAAAAACTACCATATTTTGCACATTTAGCTCCGTGTCTTCATAACGAATGGACCTGCCTTTGCCAAAAACTGACCACCACTTTTCCCCGTCATTACAAATTGAATGTATTTTTGGATCATTCAAATCGGATGCTCCCTTCTCTCAAAAAGCTTTGTATTTTCGAAACGGTTAGACCAACATTTGCCAAAAACTAATCAGCACATCACCCTATCAATAGGATTTCATTGTTTTTTGAATCATCCAAATCGGTTGTTCCGATCTGACGCCCGAAATCATCAACGAAAAATTGTATCCATACATACACACACACATTCATTTTTTCTGAGGTTCTGCCAAAATGTTCAGAGACCTATGAAACGTAAAGATATGCAAAAGTGCAGAAAAGTCTATTTTTATCGTCATAAATATAATTAAATAATAAATTAATTACATTTGATAGCTTTGAAATTGTTATTGCATATAATCAATTATTTTCAATTACCTGACTCAATTGAAATAAAATCAGATAATGATAAAATTATGGAAAATAAATATTAGCCAAAAATCTTTTCTACAATATAAGACTATTTTATTAAAAAATATTTTACAAAATTGACGATGGAATATAATATAGGTAACTAAAGATTTTTTAATTTTTATGTAACCTTTACCAAATAACATGAATTTAATTATGGGCCATTGGGCTTCACGGTTATTAATTCATGAACTGTTTATTTATTTTTCAAATTGCTTACAAATTAAAATTCATTAAACCTTCATATAAATTCGTGTTAATTCGTCATAAGTGAATAAAATATTCAGCTTTCTATTGAAACAAAACAATATCATTTCTTCTTAGGTAACAAACATGATTTCATGAATTTTGCGCATATTAAAACGTAGTTTTTAAAACAAGCATCGAAGCGTTTAGTACATCTATAATATTTAGAAACTAATATTTCACAGTAATTTAATTCAATTGTGTTTTATGTTCATTTCTATTTTGATAGAATTTATGCGGTCTGCAAAGCAATTTGTGGCTTGTAACATTAATTTGTAAAGTGAAATGTAGATGTAAGTATATTACGCATTTCCTGCGTTTTAATGGAAAAATAATATATATATATATATATATATTTATATATATATATATGATTATATATAAATATATATAAGTGTAACTATATTGTCAACGTAACTATTTTTCCTGTTGCAAAACATGGAAATGTATCCTGTACATGTAACATGTATGAGTTGCGTGAATAATTTACATATTTCAATATTTGTTTTTCAATAATTTCATTTATATAATTATTTTCATGTTAGCTGAAATGTGTTATAGTTTTATTAACAAGATTGCGAACATATAATTAAATAGAGTCATATCAGCAAAGTGTGAAACAAATTATTTACTAAGATTTATAGCAGTTTCAATTCCTCTAGCTATAAATCAATGTAATTATTATATCTTAATAATTATATTAATATAAAATTGCTCTCATATTTTGTAATGCCAATAATGTTATAAATATTAAAGAACAATATAATGTGTTACATTGAAACTATTTTTGATCATAAGGTCTGATGTCAAATATATCAGAGATTTATAAATTTTTTTTTGTATATTATTTTTTAACAGCAATCAAAACCTTACGTCCTATGAGCTGTTGGGCTAAAACTTCTCCTTACTTCGTATTTTTTAGATGATAACCCAATAGTTAATTCATCCATATTTGATGATTTTTGTTATTAGAATTAATCTAATTGGGCTGACATTTTATTGGTGCAGCAATGCCGGGCAAGGGCTATTTTCACTTGGAAACATATTGCTATCTATATTTCCAAGTAAAAATCGTTGTCACTGCTGCCTGACAACAGGCTGCTCAAAGTGGGTATCGAACCCGGGACCTCTGAAACATGTCTCGTCGCTCTTAACCGCTTACCTGCGGGCGAGCCCTATTTATAAATATATGGACCTAAATATTAAAAATTACTAAATCTTTTTTTTTAGATTTTTCTACAAATAAATAATTAGTTTCTGCTACAAATTTATGAACTTTAGTAATTCTAAGATAGCATTTTTTATTTATATTTTAATTAAAATCTATCTAGTATTACATGAAGACATGCAGTGATTGTCTTGATAATTTAAGAGATGAATTTAAGATATGATTTTAATTTATTAACTTCCTCTAGGGCAAGTTATTATTCGTCCAAAAATCGAAAATGAAAATGTTTATATATATATTTACTTTTGAGAGGTTTCTGAACATTTTGGCATACCTTAGAAAAAATGGATGTATGTTCTTGTGTGTGTGTGCGGATACAAATTTTTGTCGACGATTTCGCGAACACGGATCAGCCGATTTGAATAATTCAAAAAACATGCCATTACTACTGATAAGGAGACGTGCTGATTAGTTTTTGGCAAAGGCAAGTCTAACGATTTCGGAAATACGGGGCAAGTATTGCCAAAAGTAGTATTTCAGTTTAGATAACGAAGCGTGCGATTTAATTAATTCAATAAACATTTTACTTGTATTGACAAAATGAACAACTGGTAAAATTTTTGTAACGACAGGTCCAACGACTTCGGTGAATCTAATAAAAAAAGAAAAAAATAATGCCATTTAGCGGTCAAAATTGAATATTAAAAATATGTACATCGTATTATCAGATATTTTATAAAGATTAAAATAATAAGTACAAATTTTGAATACATTTATATGGGTTCCGTACCAATGTTTGCACGTTAGGCAACTACGCGGCGCTTAAGCGCTTTGATAATTTGACTTAAAATCAGCTATGCAGCGCGATTGCTTAAAAAACGTTCGAAATTTTAAAAAAATCCAAATACAAAAAATCAGATTTTTCAAAAATTTCCAAATTTTTCAAAAATCTAATTTTTGAAAATTTTTTTTTAATAATTTAGTTTTCTAAATGTTCTAGTCTAGTTTATTAAATGTTTGATCAATTTAACATAAAAATTTATAAAAACAACATTATTCAAGCGATTTGCAGTAAAATCCCTTCGTTATTATGGTACTATCTAATTGATTAAATACAACCGTTATTTAATCGAATAAAATTGATGTCAGTCTGCTGAATAAGCTCTAGGATAAAAAGTTCTCGTAAAAGACTTGTCTAGTTTCTATATTGATTTCTGATTGCTTATACCAAATCGAAAGACCATTTGTCACGTACAATAAATAATTATTTAACAATCTATTGAAGGCTTCTATACAACATGATAACCTATGCAAGTCATATGTATGTCATTTTCTATTATATGTGAGTACCCGGTTTTATTGTGAATATTGTCATAGAAATTGTTGCTCAATTGACTTTCCTTTCATGGAATTCTAATTTATTTATTTTATATGGCTTATTTGTTTACATTGATTGAACCTGTTACAATTTTTTGAATCAAAAGTGTTCTAGTTTTCCTTTATAAAATGTGTGGTTTCACTTAAAATAAAATCTATAATTGACTACATTGGTAAATGAAAGTAGTTTTGTAAAACAGAGAAAATGCACTCTAGTTGGTCGAGGTGAAATTTCACTACGTAGGAGTTTAGGTAATAATATTGATTTTAAATGATGCAGTAAGAATATAAATTATGCTGTTAACAATATTAAATAATCACAACCATCTACATGTTAACTTATAATGGAACTAAAATATTAAACCCACAACATATGAAAAGTTAACTAATTGTTAAGCTTAATTTTTGTAGAACAATATCTGCTGCCACAAGTTAAAATGTGTTAATATTTATCACTATAATTCAAAGTTCAGAAATCTCATGAATTGCCGTTGATAATATTTCTAAAAAATAAATTATAAATTATTTTTTGTATATAATATAACCTGTAAACAAAAATCCATTATTTAAGATGTAGTAAAACGAAATTTTCGTAAGGTGTAGTAAAAAAATCCATTATTTAAGGTGTAGAAAAAAAATCTATTATATGAGGTGTAATAAAAAAAATACATACATT